TCAATGGCACACACTTTGGATAAATACCTCTACACTGTACATTTGCCAAGAGAGCTTCTAAGATCAGCTCTGTAAATGTCATGATCCTTAATGCTATTGTGGTATAACTGAAGAGCGTTCCTTGAGCCCATTTGGCTGGGCTGACTAGCGCACTTTGTTTTCCCAGGAGAAGAAAGCAGAGTAGTAAACCATTTTTGCAGAATGTCATTCTCCCACAACAGTTTATGAAAGAAACATCTGTGACAAGAATCTTTAATGCTTTTCTCAAAGCCAAGCTGACAGTAAAAGAGCATTGCTAAAAGTGGCAAATCAATCCCATTCCACTCCTTCTAGAGCAGGACACCTAATTTGCTATGTATCACATGTATTTTCTTCGCATGTGCTGAGAGGCTGTGACATTGATGTGGTGGCTGTCGTCCAAGCTTCTGTTGAATAAACACTTTGGCCATATAGCAGGCACACTGGCGTGTTTAGCAATGTCTGCTGTCCAGTATGAGCTTACTTCACCTCAGGGAAAAGTTTGTTTAATTTTTTAGATTGCAATTTGGGGATAAAAATGGTATCTTTGAAGGCTGATTCAAAAACCTTGGGGGATTTTTAAACTTGGCTTGCTTAGTGAGGGGTTTTGTACTACCTAGAAGCACAGACATATGAGAGAGAAGAAAGTAACAAGTACAGTTCAGCAGCTAAAAATTATTTCATTACTGGGCTTGTGTTGATTGTGATATAAAAATAAGATGATTCAGCCAGAACCAGCCTCAAAAAAGGTATCTAGATCTGAAAGAAGAATTTTTATATTTAGTTAGTTAAAACATCTGAAAGCTTTTACTGACATTGGACAATGAATCAAAACTCTGGTGAGTGTGCACTGAGGAAACTGAGAGTTCAGCTGTGAATCAGAAGGATCTCTCTTAAGTTATTGTTGTTTTTTTAAAAGATGTATCACTACTTAAAATTTTTACAATCCCCAAATTAAAATAAATCTTTAAATAAACTTCTAATGTCTGTTACATTTAAATTATTCTAGTTTGAAGCTTCTTTGCAAAAGAAAGTAAGGTAGAAAGGGGACCACAACTTTCAGCATGGCTCATATACACTATAGAATTCTTCTTTCATGTGAGGATGTTAAATGTAATGCCTCTCTTGTCACCCTTCACCATGAACATATGGGCCAAGCCACACAGTTATTCAGCACTATCAGATCTCCCCCTGAATCCTGTGGGAGTTCTGGCTGAGGCTGGAGTTCCCAGTGGAATGAGATGGATCTAGATAGTGAATGACAGCTCCAAGAACCTTTCCTGGCAAGAACCTTTCCTGTGGTATCCCCACATCTGAAAGCTGAGTGAGGTTAAAGGCTGGAGTGAGAACACCCACAGTGCATAACAATGGCAGATGGTTTGTACCTCACTCATTGCCAGGGGAAGAGTGGTAAAACTGCTGGAAAAAAACTTAGAACCCAAGTTTTGCACTTAAAATAAGAGAGCAGAGGCCAGCCATAAAAATATATTATGTACAGGGAACTTTCTGAATTCAGGTTCTGGCATCGGGGCTGTTGTATGTTATAAAGTTGAGAAAGCTCCAAGTTCTAAAGAAAGTCTATTTATTCCATCAGTTGCCATGGATAACACTTGTTTGTATACATCTTTAAAGCCAAAGGAGTGGAATTGCATAAATAGAGGGAACAGAATTCAGAATACATTCCAAAGATATATAATTGGCATCCCCATAGATGTTGAATTAGTGGCACTTGATCAGATAACCAAAGTAGTCTAAGTTCTCCTGAATGTCCATGTGAAAGTCAGCTCTGTGACTTGTGGGCACAGCGAAAAGGTGTGGAAGAAACTCGAACACTAATGATATTTAGAATGATAATTCACAGCATCACAGAGAAACAGAAGACAGACTCACCCTGAGGCCATGTGAATGGAAAGCAAGGGTAGTTTCCAAAGCAAAAGGCAGACCTGAAAGATTTAATCCCAATGAGAGCAAGCCACCTGTTCTGCTAAATGCATTTCCTCCCCATTCTTCATACCACCTGCCTTATGCAGCGGAGAAGGATTTCATGTCTTCAGGAGGCACAGCTCTGCTCTCTTTTTTTTTCAGCAAAAAAAAAGTGCCTCCACACACTGAGAAATGTCCCTTGCAATTTTCAAGCTCATTTGAACTTGAAAATACTCTCATCTGACTTCAATGGGACAAATCTTCAGTAGGGCACGCTTGGCTGGGCTGGATGCTTGTTGAGAAAACCAGTCTGCAACCACCTGTCGGCTGCTGGGTCCTTTTGTGAACATTCAGCTCTTTGAGAATAGGACCCTAATTCTGCATCTGTACAGCTCCAAGCACATTCTGTCCTTGTAGAAGAGTGGAGCTTCAGACACTACCCAAAACAGATGATTTTTTTTTAAACATTGCAATAGATGCAGTAATACACAGGAAAGTGGACAAATCCCTGCCAGATTAACCCTGAGCCCCGAATTTGCCCCGAGTACAATATAAGCAGGTAGTTTGAACACTACCAGGGTTTTTAAAGTAATTGTAAATGTAGATAACAAAGTAGATAACAAACTGCTTTTTTTAACTTGCTTCTTATTTCCTTTTGTGTGCTCTCCTCCCATATAGTCAATATCCAAAACATCAAAACACAATTTTGTTTTATTTTTCAGAGTTCATTTACTTATGCTCAAAGGCTTTTGTTACAAAGAACAAAGCACATGTGTCTAACAGTTTGACCCTTCCTCCATCCTTCCCTAGGGGCTGCAATTAAACTTTCATTTAAGTAGTTATTTGGTGTGTGGGATACTATGCTAAAATACTTTGAATCAGTGGTTTTTGTAAGGCCCCCAGCTGCTCTGTCTACAGCACCCAGTAACTCTTCTGATCACATTGGAAAGACTTTGCTAATGTTGGGTATGCTTGGGAGGAGTGATTATTTAGATACAAGAAATGAAAATAGAGAAAGGATTCTTTTTAGGGAAAGGCACTGACTGCAAAGGACAACTGGAGTGTGTATTATGTGTCTGTCCATTTCTTGCCCATCATTTTGTTTCTGCCATGGGAATACATCAAAATATTGGCTTCCTGTGAATAAGGCACTTATTCATGACTTAGGACCTTGTAAATTCCTTATGTGATTGTGTAAAATGTCCTTAATTTCCCATGCTCATACTAGAGTTTTATGTGTGCTGGCACATTCTCCCTGCCCCTCCTCCAGTGCCACTTTACATGCACAAAAATGGAAAATTTGTTTTCCTAAAAACATTGCATTCTGAAAAAAAAAATGTTGATTTACAGCAAAATAAGGAAGAAGTCTTTTGTTCTCACTTATACCACCTCTTGTCCCCTTGTCTTTGTCATTATTTTTCACATTTTGTAAGAAACTATAGTTGTATTTATTGCTGAATTATTTTGGAGCTGTTCCCCTTCCCTCACTGCACCCTGTCCCAGTTTGGTTGAATTTCTTTTTCATCTCATTAATTTCCTTGAAAGCACTCACACCAGTGCAGCTTCATCCACTAGTCTGTGGTTGCAAACCAGATTCCTTTGGAGGAAATTAAGCCTAAAGCCACATGCCAGCACCAAAGTGGTACTGGAGTCACAAGGAGGGCTGCACCACCAGCCAGTCTTCCAGTGCACAGCAAACACATTCCTTACAGAAAATTTTACATCACATGTGCAGTGGAGGCATTCAAGCCAGAGGTCCAAACTCTATTTAATTAAAAATAAGTCCTGTGAACCACATGAAATGGAGTTGTAAGGAGCCTAAGCACGTATCAATCCAGTTTACAAGATCTGTTTCTATTGCAGTAAATTGCAGGCTAATTTAATGTCTACAGTACATGTGATGCCTGCCAAGTCTGCAGCCTCCCTTTCAGTGGGATCACTATGAATCTCTGTACCCTTTAAGGTTGTTTTCACAAAGATTGAGACTTCATCTGTACAGGTTCACAGTTTCTGGAAGGATGAAATACCAATATTTTCATACAAGCTGCATTTCTTCAGAAATCTAGCTAGAACTCGTGCTACTCATGTTGAGATATAAAATCCCTGTCTGCACAGCAATACCAATAACAGTTCTTCCCAATTATGCCAAAATGTTTTTTCATTGACATTGTAGTTGTCAGCTCATATGTTTCCACCAAATGTGCACTCTAGGACTAAACTGAAACTGAATTTAGAATATTCTAAACTTTTGGGGGCGGGACAGCCATTTGAATCTTGTACGTGTATTTCATGAAGAGCTTAATCAAAACTCAATCAATTCCCACCTCACCAAGTTTAGAAAGGGATTAAAATATAGTACCAGATTTGGATCTGAATTTTGAGCCTGGGGGTTCATTTCTGTTATCAATTAGCTGTTGTTCTTGTGATGTATCAAAAGGCAGTAGCATATAGGCTGTTGTTTAGAGATGTACATAATGTAGCTTTAAATTTCATTGGGAAACTAAACAAAACCTCTGGCCTTAGGGCTGCATGTTCAAATGCTACAGTCCCATAGTGCATTACACCAGTCAACACTTCTTTTCAAATACCACCCGCATAACAATTAACCTCACTTCAACCTTGAGGTCTCTGATTAGTGATGGCCTATTGTTTAAGTTCCATTAACATAGCCCCTGTGTTGCCCTATTCTCACTCAAATGGACTAATCAAATCAGTCACCAAGGACTTAAGCTCAGGGTCCAACTTCTTTAGTAAGCAGCAATTTTCAATTTAAGTAGAATGGTGGATGTCATCAACACAGTCACAGTTAGTATAGCTCTAACATGGAAAACATCCTTAATAATCCCAAATTTGTAAAATACCAAGGGCCCCAGCAACTTTCAATATGAGAATTTCTATGTATAATAGAAAAATTACAATATCAATAGGGTAGTCAATTCATTACCTTGTACCAGACAAGGCTCTGAAAGGACAAACCTCAATCAGATTCCATTTAATTTCAAGAAGCAAATGTTGTTTAGAACCAGAAGAAATAAAAACACATTACAGCATTCATGAAATGCTATTTTTTGCTACCCGCACCATATTTATTATGCAAAAAAAAGGAAAGAATTGTTTATTTTTCCAAATCCAGTTACAAAGTTGTTATTCTTGACATTCTTCTTACTTTGATTACTCAACTATGTTTTCATTCACATTAGCTGATAGTTGCTCTTTCAATCATTTAGAATTAAAAATGGTCTAGTATTACTTCTTTGGGTTATTTTTAACACTGTCTTCTATTTCTGTCAAGGTATTGGATGATTGGAGCACCAACCTCTATGAAGATACAGTGGAAAAGTCATGGAAAATACTTCACCAGTAGAATTCAGGGCCAAATCTTCAAAGGGCCAATATGCATGTAATGAGAGTTACTGCCTCCTTATCAGCACCGATACCCATGGTGCACAGGCAAGGAATTCTTTAATTTTCATGCACATGCTCTTACCACATGAGAAGCACATATATTTTCCAACCATTCAGAGCTTGCCTTTCTTTGAATAAGCAGCAAGAAGGCAAAGTAGGAAGCCTCTGGCCATTGAGCAGGACACTGAGGACATCAAGGACGTTCAAAATGGAGCCTTTGTGGCAGATACAATTTTGCTGTGATTATAACTGGTAATTCCTACCTAATCAAAAATAACCTTTTTTTTTCATTTTCTGTTGCCACCTTGTTTTCTTGCCAAATTGTTTCTGCTTTCTCAGTCTAATACTTTTTCAGACCATGGTGGAATCATACTCTCTCATCTCCTCAGAATATGAAGTTACCAGATAATGTTCACACATAGCTTTTCTTTTATGATCAACTAAAACCCTGTGCACAGAATAAACATTGCCAGACACATTAAGTGTTTTATTTTTCTGCTTCAGAGAACGAAATTTGGCAGAAATATTCCCTAATTTAAATCCAGCTTTTGTCTGCCTCATTGCTTTACACACCATGTAGTGAAAGAACTGGCTTCACACTGCTCCCACACCACCAGTCCATCTGACTGACAATAGATCCAATCTGCATTACATGGGAGGCCATGTGAGTGGTCTATTCTGCTCCTCCATCTCCACCGACAGCTGGAACTGGACTTGGAGCAAATATCAGGAGAATTTGCATGATAGTCCATTTGCAGCACATATGCTATAAATTCACCATTGCTGCAAAATGGCAAGCCATAGGCCTCATCTACACAGAAGCTACATGAATTGAAATTAAAACCAATTTAGTCTAAACCAGAATGAACTTCTGCATGAATACTCATAACAGTTTAAAATCTTCTTGCATCAGTTTATCCAACACCGCTGGCTTTCCCCAGCAGGCAATTAACCAAGAGCAAGGAAGCACAGACACTGCCACGCAGTCTCCATCTTTTTTAAACCCCACCTTTAGCCCCATGGCTGGTAGGGACTCTGCCTTATTGGCTGGGGCTGTTCAATCACACCTGTCATTCAGAAATGGGGGGATTCCCTTGCAATTCTTCAATTCCTGCTTGCATTACCCACAGTCAGCCATTGCCTCCACTTTAGAAGACTCCAGAAGTGGCACCACTCTTGCCCAGCATCAGATCAGGTTTGATCCTTGCAGTCCCTCAGTGAAGACACTGGGGCAGCAGCTTCTGGAGTGGCAAAAGCTACACACATTCTCCAGCCATTGTTTTGGTCACGTTACCCCTGGGCACTGACCCCCTGCCTGCACCGCCTCCTGTTGCTCTTTTGTTCAAGAGAAAAGTTGTCATTTAGAGGCTGATTATTAGTTTTCTTTTCTCTTCCCCACCCGGAGTCCCCCTTTAACTGGATCATCACCAGTTTTAGAAGAGTTGCCCCTTTCTAAAGGAAACAAAACAGAATAAACAACCTCTTTCCAGTCCCTGCCAGAGCTCTCTTCTTTTCACCAACATCCATTTTCTCCCAAACAAAATGAAAGGACAGGGAGAAAAAAGACAGCTTCTTCCCTCCCTCCACAATGAAACAACAAAGAGCACAAACAAAATTAAAATTAGGCATTTAAGCTGATTTTCACCACTTAACTTTTGACATGTTTTTGCAAATTTTGTTCAAGTTCCCCTCTGAAGATTCAGCAAGTGAAACCCACTGTATCAAGTGGTGTTTCCAAGCCTTTTTTACATAACTTCCATGAGACAGCCAACGTGTTGTTAGGACAGGCAAGGGCACCTTTCTGCTAACATGAAAATCGGAGACTATGACACGACAGAGTATCTGTCCCTTTGGGTAGAAATAAAGGTTTAAATGCCTAATTTTTCAACTTTATATACCTCTGAAAATATTTGGGAGTCTGGTACATCCAAGCTTACTCTGCAAAGTATCTCCAGGTGGGTGATTTATTAGAAGCTAAAGCCATTGCCCAAAAGTTCTATTTTATGCCCATGTAGAGTCGGTTCAGCTTCATTGTCTTGCTTTGAGAAGTAATTGTTTTTCTCTTCAGAAATATATTTTTCTTCCAGTAAGCCTGCATCATATTCATCATCTGGAATGTATTGGGAGCGCTGCACTGGGCTCAGCTTGCAGCTGCTCCCAATCATATCTGATGTGCTCAGAGCAGACCTGCGAGAGCCTCAGCAGGTGAGGGTGGGACCGCCGGCCCCGCCACCGCTCCTCCTCCCATCCTTGGCCACTCTGCTTCATTTCCAGGTGTAATTCAAAATGCCTTCTTTCATCCACGCAGCCATTCACACTTTGAGAGCTTGTATTTCTTTGGGACGGTTTCACTGTTTCGACACCATGTTTCACCTGGCCGCCAAGATTGGCTGCAGTTGCATGAGATGAATAGCAATGTTGATTCTGTAAAATGCATGAGAGTTTGCAGAATGACGGGCCATTCTCAGTGGATGTACAGCACAGGAGCAATAGAAACATAGGGAGTGTCTTGTTTCACAGAGGAGAAAAGAAAGGATTTATTTCCATTGGAAAAAATTAATATTCTTCATATTTTTGTAAGAATGTCATGAGGTGCAACCACTCCCCTGAAAATATTCTGCAGTAGAATTTTTAAGAACTGTGCTCATATTTGGATTGTGAGTTACACCAGCAGTAGTATATTTTCCTTAGAAGCTGTTGGGTTTTTTATTGGTCTCACTTGGATCTGAAAAACCCTGAAGAAAAAAAAAATCACATATACATGAAACTCATGAGATGCTACCACCATAGGAAGTCAAGCAAACAGAATATTGACTACAGGAAACAGAAAATTAGAATTTAATTTACTAAAGGAATTAATTTAATATGATAACAACAAAAAATTATGTATGTGCTGGTGAGCTGCTGCACATTTCTTCACTAAGACCTGTTGCCTAGGTCCAAAAGAATCTTTCTGCACTGATCTATGCAGATGGCATAAGGTTCCATGCCTTTGCAATCATCCAGGTTCACTTGGGATTTATCTCAGGTTTCACAGCCTACCTGACTGAAGCAAGGCACAGATGTTGCTGTAGTACACTGAAGAGATTCCTCCTTCTGTACAACCTCAGTGCCTTCTACCTCCAACCAATATCCCCTTTGCCTTTCCAAGGAGCATCCAGGTCTCTCCACATACCGTGTTCCCTTCTCCCCCATTCCCATCATCCTACTGTTCACCTTGAGGTCTCTCACCCTTTTTGTTGATGTGGTAGCCAGCTAAGGATTCTACTTTACTAAGAGAAAAGTACTTTTCTCTGTCTTAAGCAAACTAAATGTGTTGAGATTAAATTAACCGGGTAAATTATCAAATACATTACATTGTCATTGGTTGTGATTTTACAGCAGGTCAAGAAATATTCTGCTGTTTCCCTATAGATGGAAGGTCTTCATTACTCTGCCTTCTTGAGCTAGAAGAAAAACTCGTGGCTATAAGAAAAAGATTGAGTAAAGGACTTAAGAGCATTTCAGAAACAGACGTCTAACAAATGGAAAACTAATAGCTTTCTCTAATTATTCTCTTTTTTTTAACAAAACCCTTTTAAAATAAAATTGTATGCTTTTTATGGTGGTAACAAGCTGTCATATCACTTCACTTGGGGTCATGTTCGGAACTGGCCAAGCCGCTAGTAGCCCTGTGTGGGATACAGTTCAAGCCCCTGCGTTGTATAATAAGCTGTGCCCCTTGCAATAGTTTCAACAACATTAAGTCAGCTCAGTAAAAATAACTGAACATTATTTTCCTCACTTAGACAAGACTTGAGTGGAAAGGGATAGTGAACCCTTAGCACTATATACAGCAAGTGGATAGGAAACCATCTGCTCCACCGCTGCTGGCTTTCCTGAGCCTGGGGACCTGAGAGATGCCCCAGGCTCCTCAGCAGCAGTTGCTAAGGAAACATTTTAGGGAACCTTTTTCATAAATTCATAGTAATCTCCATTTCTCAAATGTCAAGGCTAATGACTCACCCTTTGATTGCAAATGGGATTTACTACCATAGAATTGCTGGCAGCCTTCAAAGCTAAATTGTATTTGTCAGCATTTGAAGACTTTTAGTACATTGGTTACCACTGCTCCCCTTGAGTGAGTAGAAAATGTAGATACATGAATATCTGGCAGAATTCCCTCAGATATATTTCAACCCTTTCCTAAGTTTCCATATAGGAAAGAAGACAGATACTGGTGTCTGAAGGGCTCCCACAGCAGGGAATCCCCACAGCAAAGCCTGTGCCTTTGGGGGTTTTCTTGCCTGAGGTGCAGCCAGCCTTCTCCTGCAAAGCACAGACCCCAACGGAGGGGAGCTGGGACCAGCTTAAAGCTGTCTCTGGGGATGACCTGTAGAGACATGCACCCTGCCTTTCCCCCCAGGTTACTTCTGCTTGAAGGCAGCTGGATACACCCATGGATTTTCTGCAAGCCACACGTGAATCCATGTCCTTGGCTTCCACTGATTAATGGCTCTGGCAGTCTGCAGTTTTAGCCCTCATGCATTTTGGATATCACCTGAAACGAGACCAAGAACCTGACACTGCAAAATTTTGTGCCTTCACAGTTCCTCTTCTGCCAAGTGCCAAGTTTGCAAATGTATCCTGAGACTTATTTCTTCAAAGTATTTGAGAAGTTATCAACAAACCAAACTTCTAGGATTATATCTATTGCTTTGAAAGCAATACATATTTAGAACAAGATTCTCCTGCAAGTGATACAGACTTCACTCCAGATGGATCTACTTCCAAGTTAAAATCTTATAGCCCAAAATATAATTTCAAAAGTGGAAATTTTAGCTCCTAGTACTTTAAAGATACATAAAAGAATCTCAAATAAATACAGACTTAACCTCAAACTTTCTGTTAATTAATTTTTGGGAACACTACACATTTATATAAATGCATATTATAAATCCATTTGAACAATTGGTTCATACTGCATTTAATACATTTCCACTTAATATAAAAACTAGAGAAATCATGTACTTTGAATGGATTCGTACTATAAATCACTGTTACTCAAGGAACTCCTTCTCCCTGGAATTGTCAGTGACTGGTGTATGGAAGACACTGACAAGACCTGTTGTCAGTAGCACCACATTGTTAGGAGACACATTCCTTGATATAAAATCAGTATCCACCCATTTAGGAACTTAATGCACTTAAAACTTACAGAAATTCCTCCAGAGGAACACTTGTATGTTATTTTGAAGTGTTTCCTGGTCACCTTGAACACCACTGTCCAAAACAGGCAGATGGAGTAAACGCTCATCCAAATTTTGCTTTTTCTGTCTAGGGAAAAAATATCACTCAAATGCATTTTGTACGAATTTGCCTAGAGACAGACAAATTTGCTTTCCTGTTGCATCTGGCTACAGGATTTTACAGTGTAGATTTGCTCAATTTTCAGTTTGCATATTTAGCCAAATTGCTAGACTACACATCCTATCCCAGGCCAGGTGCTGGGAGAAGGCTCCACTCTAGAACTCTTTTTGCCTAGAATACAGAAAGGGGAATTTCTGCCTCTGAGATGCTGACACTGGTGTTTCTAAGGCCATTTTTTTCTTCATTGGCTGGCTTTCAATTCTATACTCTCACAGAATTTTGCTTTTATTGATACAATAAAATTAACGACTGTGAGTGTAGAGACAGTCTTAGGCAGTTACCCCTCAGTTTCCAGCTGGCTCCGTCTAAAATCATAATTTAAAGAATACAGTTAGAAAAAAACAGTTAACTCAGAAAATAAGTCTCCAAATCTTGACTGAAAACATGTGGCCCCAAAATGTAGATGAAAAATGAACAAACATCTGCATTATCATACTGTTTACCAAATGCTGAAATCAAAGTCGTCTATGCAGTGTTTCCTCTTTCTGTAGCCAAAAAGTCTGCTTAGTTATTTCACAATATAGCAAAAACCTGGTAGCATATTATTTAAGTAACACTGAGTGTTCTCATTCAGCTAATCATTATTTACATCATTTCTGACCAGAAAAATAATCCTGAAATGACTAGGAGGATCTGTCTTTTAGTTTCAGATTCATCAATACCTACAACTTCTGCACCTGTGTGCCTTTTTTTGTTTGTGAAGTAAAGTGCCATGATGCTGCACCATGTTCTATAGCAGCTCTGAAACACTCTGCCTGATCCTTCACTTGTAAACACCAAGAGAGTACCTGCACACTTAGAAACAATCACATGGAGCCACAGTACATGTGATTGTGGTTTAACCTTTTAAAATAATTGTTTTCTTGGTTCTATTAAAAAACAAAGATAGAGACTCTGGGAGGATATGACCAGTTGTATTCTCATACAGTAAATGTGAAATCCTGAGGACTTTCAAGCATTCCGTAATTCAAACAAAGTTTTATTATTTCCTGAAATGCAACAACCATCAGAATATCATCTAGGTAGATTAACATGTTGTTCTCCTGCTTCTTAGAGCGCTGGTAGATCATTCCTAATGCTCCCTGTTCGGTTGAAGCAGGGAATTTCCTCTAATTTTGGCAAATGATATGCTGAGAGAAACGTTACTTAACTCACCACACAGCCATAAATCTGCTTTGTAAATCTTGCACTTTTTGGAAGGCTTATTGCTAAAACTTTTGCTTCAGAAGCACATTTAAGGGTTTTAGATTTAATAAGGTTAAAAACCATCTGAGCATTTTGAGACTACAAAGAAATAATATATCTGTAGTGTCCCCTGCGATAGATTAGAGGCAGGACTTGGTTGCGGTAATGAATATAAATGGGAATCTTTATTAAGGCCACTGGACAGAGGCAGGACTGTAGCTCTGCTCTCCAGCTCCCAAGCTAACTGCACACAACCTATGCTTTCTAATGGCATCATGCAAGTCTATCCTAAATCCTGGCCTAGATTCAGCACTTTTGGAAGGGATTGCCAAACTCTAGTGAAACCTAGCTCCTTAAATTGTTCAGCAGTGGATAAAACTTCCAGAGCACACCCTGCCAAGGCTTGCATAATCCCTACATTTGCATGCATGTGAATTAAACAATGAAAAGGCTGGAACTTCTGCAAATTAGAATAGAAATCTCCTCCATTCAAAAATCTTTTTTTCCCCTGCAAGCTTAAGGATAAAAATGGATCTTTGACTTGAAAGCCTAGATATTTAATTTCTTTAATGCCATTTTAATTACAAAACTAACTTGAACAATAAATGTATATATATACAGTGGAGAGAGGCCGCAACCTCTCTGTATGCCATAGCCAACATTATAGGCTTACTCCAGGTGTTGAGAATCTTTTCATGGAAGATGGACAGGAAAGTTAATGAATGTTTATGGTCTTTGTACTCAACACAGACCATGCTCAAGGCATAGGCAAAGTAAGTAATGGTTTCATCTGCTCTGTTTTGGGCAGAGGAGAAAGGAACTGGATCCTTGACGCTGAAAAGCCCATTCCTGTGGATGCAGCCCTGTTCTCTTCCTCTTCCTGCCAGGCCAAGGGAAGCTGAAGACTTGCAGCACACTGACTGGCAGGCAGAGCAGAAATGTCCCCTCCATCCCACAGTCTGGTAGTCCTCATCCTCCCAGCCCATGGTGCACAGAGCACATGCAGGGGCTGCAGCGCAGAGCTGGGACAGCCCCATGGTGGAGGGAACGGAGTGAGGGAGGCTGTTAGGTCTCTCCTCCTTCCTCAGGCCTCACTGGCACCTCTGACCTCCCTGTTTCCCTTCTGCAGTCCCAAATTTGCTGTCACTCTGCCCTTTGCCTCCGCTGCCCACCTGTCCCAGCCCAGTGCCACCCTCATGCCCCTGCGCCGGGTGGCAGACGCAGGCCACGGCCCCTTCCCTTCAGGGGCTGTTCCTACATTAAACCTACACATGTGGATCTCCTTTGAAGCAGGCCCATCAATGCTGTTTTCAGACCACACTCACCATTAGGGATGCTTTTATCCAAGGAGCTGCAAATACAGTGTTTTTTCCTAATATTTTGAGGAGTGAAGGAGAGTGTTTTTTCTGTGCTCAGACAAGCTGTCTGGATTCCAGCCTGAGGTGTATCTGCCAGAAACTCCAAGATCCCTGCGTGGAAAATAGACTGCTAGAGTCAAACGCTAGCACACAAACACATCATTCAGTTCAGCTTCAGAAACTTCTTCAAAAAAGGCTATGGCAGACTTCAGGCCGTGGCAAAACTTCTGTCAGAGGGGTTGTGGCCTCCCTTGTGCCTGCACAGCCACACACCTTCCTGGGACAAACCTCCAGAGCCTTCCCCAGGCATGGGTGGAGAGGCTGTAGGAATCCTTGAGGGGTTTGATATCACAAGACAGGGACATGACTTTCTTCTTTAACTGACACGGAGATGACGGCAATGGGCTTTGGAGGAAGGTATGTGGTGGAAGACATCCAAAGGCCTTTTACTTGTACGGTGACTGTTGGTAGTAGGGTTATCCTACAAAAAGAAAAAACTAAAACAAAAACAAAACAAGCAATAAAATCCCAAGACTCCAAAATTTGAGAATATACATAAAAGTGTTGCTATGGGGCTTCTAATATATTCCCATCACCCCCTCCCTCTTTCTCTCTCTCTCTAAATACCAGTGCTCTAGTGCTACACTGAGCAGGGGGTCAGAATAGGCAGGAATAGTGTAGGTGTGGGATCTCAGGATATCCAGAGGTGAAAGGGTGACACTACCTTCTGATTTGAAGAGCTAACTTGAGGAAAGCCTATGATCACATCAGTGGGCCACATGTACCAACTGAGTGTTGCACGTCAGTATATTGAACATATGTGGTTCTTATTTCCTATGTTAAAGGAATACAGTTTGCAAGCATCAGGGGTGTGTTGTTATTTCAAATGAAAGGTAAATGTGGATTAAAGGTATTTCAAGATTCCCATGGTCTGATGACAATGAATACCTGAAAAATCCAACTTGATTTTAAAGTTTTCCCAACATTTAAAATGTCTGCCTCACAAATTGGTGTGGGACCTGGTTTCATTTTAAAGGCTCATGGAAACAACCAGAGCAGCAGGAACAATAACAGCACCCTTTTAGAAAAATACAGGAAATCTTTTCAGCCAGATGCACTGCAGCACTGGGGCCACCATGAAAGTCTTGCAGTTAAAGAAACCTCACAACATCTTCTAGGCAAAAAGGGGATCATCACGTCTCCTAACACTTCATCTTGCATTAGAAATAATTCTTGCTCGAGGAAGCAAAAAAGAGCCAATAAAATGTTCCAACTTCATTCCTTTATTGACTTTTTGCTGCCTTATGTTATTAATAAGAATTTACAACTTAATTTGCATGTAAGGTTTTAGCATGGACTATGCTTGTATGCAATTTGAATTTTTAAAAACTTTGGGGCCTCACAAATCTGACAAATCTTTTAATAATTAATAGAGTTTTGTCTGGGGCCAGATTTTGTAAAAAGGTATCTAAACTCAACCTTTATATTTCTGTGTGAGAGGACATAGAATCTCCTGGACATCTTAGACTGGGGTTTGGGATATAAAAATGACGTATTTGTATGTTGCAAACATTGCTCATGGAAGGGTGCAGGTAAAGAGCAAGGCGCCAGGCACTTTAAAAAAGAATTCCTGATTTGCAGGCCCCATGAACGTACTTTTAAATGCCAATTTGATAGGTGAAAAGGCTGTAGGGAGGTTTGGGGGGATGAATATCAGAGAATAGTAACATCACTTTCTTACTTATTTGACAGTGAGATGAAGACAATGTGGTGCGAGACATTCAGAAGCCTTTTTTACTTGTAGACTCTTGACTATTGGTAGGGTTATTCTGGAAAAAAAAATCAAAAAACCTAACCCAGCAGCCAAAACCTGAGGCTTCTAAATTAGAGAATGCACATAAAAATGTTGGCCTGAGGCTTCTGATTTGTATATTCCCATCTCCCTCTCCCTCACTCTTTCCTCTCCAATACTAGTGCTGTATTGAGTTGGAAACGTATAAATGTTACATGTAAGATGCAGCCTTACTGTTGCATCTTTATTCAACATCAACTTCCAGATGGGAACTATTTTTCATGGTTCATAAAGCCAAATCCAGCTGCTACATTTGGACCTACATAAGGAATCCACATTTTATTGCCTTAGCAGTGCATATAAAACAATTGCTGTTGTTTCTTTAGTACTGGTGCACCTCACATTTCTCAATACATTTTAAATATTTAAATTTTTAAAAGTGTATTTTATAGTTCCTCATTTAGCTGTGCACCGTAACAAGATCCTGCTTTTACAACATTTTCTAGATATCTAACATAACTGAAAGAAAAACGACCGTGGACAAATGGTATTCAACATAGCAGCCATATATTCAGTTACTTACTAAGAGTGTTCAGACAATTTCCTATGTAAACCACAATGATATTAAATACTTCTGGAATCTCAGCTTTATTAAGAGACAGGAAGTGCAAACTCAGGAGTCTTTCCCCTCCCCCTCGGCTAATCTGAGTCTTTGATAGTCATGTGTTAGGAATAACCATCGAGTTGTCCCTAACGAAAAATATTCCCACAGCTAAGAGAGAATTAACCCTTGCGAAACCTCAAAAGAGAGAGTGGAGTCCATGTGTTCACACAGAGAGGGAGGAAATAAACCCCGTTAGGAGGAAGTTTATGCCAGCAGCAGGTCTACACAGCCCTCACTGCCAGCTCTTCCATGCAGGCATAATTCATTTGCATTTTAGATGGTATTGTCAGAGACACTACAGCACATGCATGGAGGAGAACCATCCAGCCTGGCAAAATTAGCCATCTTTGTGCCTCCTTCCTTCCCTCCCTCGGCGCTGAGGAGAGCATCGTGCAGGCGCTCGGCCCCGTGCGCCGCGCTGCTCTGGGCTCTCCGCGAGCAGATGCCAGGCTGCTGGCTCCAAAGCAAACAAATCCCAAACACATCCCCACAAAAAGCGCCGAGGTGGGACAGAGAGAGTTAATGCACGGCTATGACAGAGAAGCAAGTTTGCTGTGAATTGGGAAGCACAAACTATAGTAATCCCCACCCTGCTGAGTGGCTTCCCCAGAGGTCTGATACAGTGCCAAAGCCTCTTACGCATACTGAGACAAAGCTTATTTCAAGCCGAATTCAGCTCCTGAAGCCACCATACTGCTTCCTGACAGCCTCCAATTGCACTGCCTCTGTATTTGTGTTTCCTGCTGTTTATATTTACTTGTTCCCAGAGCCGCAACAGCTACAAAAACAAATAGTTGCTATTTGCAGGGCTCTGTATCAACGCAGGTAAAGTGCTTCACTTCCCTTTTAGTTTTACAAAGATTGTGCAAATAGGCTTTTAATACCTCAGAGAGATTAATTTGGTAATTATAAACCAGTTTAGGAACACATGCCAAACAATTGGTCATATAATCAGCATCCTTGTTTCAGAGTATTAGCGCGGCTGAGGCAAAAGGTTTTTAAACCATAAGGGCTACACAAACACTCCCTTGATTATATTGCTATTATTTCCCCACTCCACTGAGACACAAGCTTGAAATATCACTTTTTTGTTCGTCAAGTCCCTGTGGATGCTCTCTGGATCTGTGCTCCTGTCCCTTTGGCCCCTGTACAGATATTGTGACGAAGTCTGATTTGGGTAATGGAGATCTTGTTTGATATATTTATTTAAAGAATCAGCTTAAGGAAGCCTGAGAGCCATCAATTTTCTTAATTAACTGCAGAGAAATGATTAATGCTATAAATATGGAATTGATCAGGAAAAAATTATAGTACATAGGATTTAATACAAGTTGTTCCACCAATATTTAAGACATTAAATATGATAAATCTGGTTCTGGGTAAAGTGTTCATAACTACCCAAGTTATTTATGCACCTCAGAAAATTCCCACCACAAACCACCAGGGCTGTTAGGATTCTAACTGGAGGAGAGGCATTGCTTTTCAGGTGGAAAAAGTTGCTTTTTCAAAATAAAATCTCCTGAAGGAATAGGTCCATTTCAGCTGTACTGCACTTCCTGAACCAAACCAAGCAGAAAAGTTTAAAGCATTGTATTCTGACTTTATCTAAAAAGGACATTTTCATTTCAAAACAGTTCAGTTTAAAATGAATTTTCTTTCATGCACATTGATGTTGTCTTTAGTAATGCAGAAGTTTCATTTATCAGGAAATTTTTAAAAATATAAATTATATTGCTGGAGGCTAGAAGATGGGCCTCCAAGCCTTTCCTTTCAGAAGCACCCACCCCAAATGTTTCTCCCTCATGAAAAAGAAGAAAAGAAAAGAAGAATATCAGGCAGGGGGGGAATTCAATCCCACCATTGCTCCTCTCTTCAAAACTGAACTGCAGTCCAGAAAAACCCCTGAACCTTAGGTCTGCTGCCACTACTTCCTTTGCAGCTCCAAAAATATGTTTGCTTTTTGTTTCTTGTCTGTCAATCAAAACCCAGCACAGGGGTAAGCAGAGAGAATCCAACCTGCACATCCAGCTTTTGTGGTTCCCACCTGTCACCGAGAACTGCATCTGAAAGCTCTGTGGTGTGCAGCCCTCCCTGGCACTGCAGCCACTTGGGCATTGTGCAAAACCTCTTTGCACTGCCCGTGCTGGCTGGGGTGGCACTGGGGCTGAGAGGGACGGTGAGGGGAGCAGGAGGAGGCAGGGGTGTGCCAGGCCTAAGGACTGCTGGTAGAAGTTGTTGGAGTTACCCCCCCACCTTTCAGTGTCTTTCTCACCATAAAAAGAATTAAAAGCTGAGCCAACAAATTCAGTGCCATGGTAATGTCAGTGACTTTTATAGACATGTAGAAGACAGTACTTTTGGAGCTCAAGCATGCAGCATCAGAGAAAAGTTTTTGGGGTTTTTTTTTTGGGTTTTTTGGTTTTTATAATAACTGGTCTCACAATTCTTCCTGTCCCCACTTCCCCCAGTCCCTGGAGAATGAGAGTTATGGAAATAACAACTCCTGAGACCATTTCCCAAGAACTTTGTGCCTTGCTCCACAAGAAATGCAATGCCAGATCCACCCACATCCGACAAGCAAGACATCCTGGAGCAGTTTTAGGAGGAGACGTTAGATAGAAATGTCACTGTATTCATGTACAGAGCATGGATCCACACATGGAGGGCTAAACTCTCTCCCCAGGGAAGCTGTGTGAACTTTGCCCAATCTTTTCCCTGTGTTTTCTTTCCCTGCAGGATTAGTCACCACCCAGCCCAGGGTGGGAAGGCCTGTCAGAGGTCATTCTCCCTCTGGACAGCAGTGTGGAGTTCTGTGGCTCTCAAAGCCTGTCCATGACCCACTGCCACCAGTGCAGACTCAGCGGGGACAGAGGGGCCACCAGGAAAGTCTTGGCTACCTCAGGAATGGATACACAAAAGGCTGAATCTCTGTCTCTGCCCGGAGCTGCTACCCACCTACAGCACAGGGAGAAGGACCAGTGGTGACCAAAAGTTTCAGGGACACTGACAGCTTCCTTAAGTGGCATGAAGAAAAGAAAATCTGACCAGTTTTTTTCAGTCTCATATAGATCTCAAGATAGATCTTCCGAGGGCTTGGGGGAGGCAAATGTGTTGGCTGGTGGCATGAGACACAGGTGGGGTGGAAGGAGAAAACTCAAAAGAGGCAAGTGACTGAGCACACAAGGGAACCCAGCAGCTCACCTGAGCTCCTAGCTGGGGCACTAGATGATAGTGAATAGATGGTGTGTTACAGTGTGCCACAGGCTCCATATTGCAGAGAGGACAGTTGTACAATTAAACACCCAAAATCCATCTAAACTGAACATTTACATAGTCGGAATACAAGCACTTAAGAGAGCAAGGCTGTCTTCAGAAAACTGCAGAACTAAGGCTCCCAGGGCTCCCTGACATCTCAGCAGCTAACACACTCCAAGCAGAAAGCCATCTGTTAGGGTCTGCTCTCCATCCGTGCTTCCCTGTCTCTGTGACCCCACACGGGGGAGAGGGGACACTCAGAGAGGACAAGCAACAGCAGTGGGGTGCCACGGAAACAGTGGCACAACGCATTCCAGTGGCCCCTGAAACTGAGGTGCTCAAGATTTCATTCTTCCATTGGATCCTCGGGCTTTTTATAATTCCAGGGATGAGACCAATTTAATTTTTATAGAGATGTGTAATCCGCCATTTCAACACGCTAATTGAAATAGGCTGACATGCAGCTATGTGCCCTACGAGCCTTCCAAAGCACATATCTTGGCACTTTCCACCAGAGGCTGAATGACATGACTGGAAACCATACCAGATCCTCTGTGTTTACAGGCCTCTGCTTCTACATTATTATTTTGATTGCTGGCTTTACCAACAAACATCCAAGAGGAAGAATCCACTTGGAGAAAATAATAGAAAGCAGAGCTGAAACAGAATTTAAGAGGTCAAAAATCAACTGTACCTGTGCTATTTTTGACAGCTGTTTATTTAACCACTTTGTAAAGTCCTTCAGCAGTGGAAATTTACACAATTTCCCAGTGTCATCTGACCTGTTCTTTAATTACAAATTTTATAATGCCTAACCTAAATTTTTCTTCAAGTAATCTAAGTTTATATTTTCTTATCAATTCAGGGGAAAAATGTTAATTATATTCTTTCCTCTCTTCAGCACCTTTTTTAGGTATTTGAAGATTTTTAAGCTCCGTTTTGTATGCTGTAAACATCTTTCCAACTTCTCTGGTTCTGACCACTTTGCTCAGGATTCTCTCCTTTTCTTCATGTCCTTTTGCAAAGTAATTCCCAAAGCTTGCCAGTGCTGAGGAAGGTAGAAGGATGTACACACCTGCCTTGCAGGTTACATTCATTTAAAAAAATTCTCAGTAGTACATTTTTCTTTTCCACAACATTGTATCATTGAAGACTTAAATGCAGTTTGAAACCCTCATAACTTCTCTATTGTTTTCTTTAGGATCAACCCTTTACCCTCCATTCTGCAGACAACTTTTCCTCTGTATATACAGCAAGTACCTTCTATTTTCTCTCCATTTTTTCTAATCACTTCTCCAGTCTGATTTCCAGTTCCACTCTCCAACATACCTGCAGTTTTCCCAGGCTGCCGTTCTTTGTGGTTGTAATGATTACAATTGGTTTCTGCACCCAGGACACTATTGACAATAATCAGTGAGCACAGATCACAGCACAGGATCCTGCTTGGTACATTTCCATTAGAACAGTGTCTCATTGATAACTGATCTCCAAATATATTTTTCCAACCGGGAAAATACCTGTCTTTTGGAAGGTTTCATCAAAAATATGTTTTCTTAGCGTTTTTAAGAATTTATCAAGAGTTGTCAAAAGAGGGAGAGCTTAAATGGCGTTTGAGGTATTTGCAATTTTTTCTGTAAGGCATTTAATAATTCTTGATGAGGCCTATGTGCACAGTGAAACAGCCTCAGAAGTCTTCCTTAAAGCCAAGTTGTGCCACTGGGCCAGTAGAGCTGCTAAGGACATCCCCATGACTCCAAGGGACATGAAAGTGTCATTAACTCGAAAACCGACTCTCATTCTGAACTTGCATGGTTTCATGCCATTATTTCTCTTACTATTACTCTTCAAACTTGAACTTTACTCTTAGAGATACAATCGTGTTAATAACTTTCAGTGTTTTGCAGACACTTGATTAGAGCTTCACAACACAACTCTGCATGGACAGAATCATAATTTTCCTTAACAAGGAGACCAAAATAGGAATAGGAAAATATCCTATTTTTCCATTAGGAAAATTATAAATTATAGTTCTAAGAAAGCCAACTCTTGACAACTGATTGAGACTACGTTTAAAGAGTATGGTCACAGAGATATAAACTAAAATGTACACATTGGAAAAGAAATTAGAGTTCAGTAATTAATGTGAATTGTAAAATCTTGTGTTACTCAATGACAATTACTATAAAAAATTTTTATTATTCAAATTTAAAATACCAGCAATCTAACAGGCCTCTAAAACATCTATTTTGGTTTCTAGATTAATTATCTTTCATCTATATAGTCATTCATTTCACAAATTAAAAAAGAGTTTACATACAGGGAGAAAGCACCATAGCATGGTAGGAGAATTTCTTGGGGGAAGCTTCAGGCAACAAGTTTTAGTTCATTGCTGAAGCTGCCAGCTTCACAAAACTTAGATATGGGAGCCTGGTTTCACCTTTGGTGAAACTGAGGAGCCAGCCATGAACTTCTGATACATATGTTAATTTAATTGCTGTAGGATCACTCAGGAGACTGCCACTGAGGCTGAAAGCCATGCTAGGAGAACTACTTAAAGTCATAGATGGAAAATGAAGACAATAATTCACCTCAACTGCTTGCTGAGGACATCAACGATATACTTCCTGGAGCTTTTTCTTGGCATTTCAAGAGAAGAAAATATTTTAGCTCTCCAGAAAGAATCAATGACAGAATTTTTCCTGTTTTCCAGTCTTTTGTCTTTTCCTTCTGTTTTGATCCACCTTGCCAGAATGACCCCATTTGCCTTTCTGGTCAGAGGCACTGCCACACCTTATCTCAAGTTCTGCCATATTTTCAGAATGATGAACATTTGTCCCAAAACTTAACTGATAATAAGTGGTATATTATTAGTTATACCCTGTCAGTTTGATATGTGCTAATGTGTGAAAAGGGGGCTCTATGAATTCACCAAAAATGAGAGCAAACAAAACCATCTACAATAGAAGCTCCATGAATGGAAATAAATACATTTTTTTATCATAACTGTCCTTTAAGCCTGCTTTCATCTATTATTTTAATTTCACTTGAGTTCTTCTGTATATCTTACATTCCTACACATCTCTCACATGGTCGAGAAAGCAAAGGGCAGTGTATGCCTGATACGCTCTTTCCCCCACTGGGGATCCAACAAACATGAATTATCTTAAATTAAAAGGAAGCACTCAGTAATAGTGTATACAGGGATGTGTCTGCAGCAATCCAAAGTGGAACATGGACTTGATCCCTGAGATACAATTTCTCTGTACATGCAAGGTGGGCCAGGGGAGCACCTAGGCTGCGGAAAACATGAGGCACTTGTGTCTGTAGGAGCCACTGGCATGGAGGGGTGCACGTTGCTGGAACCAGGATTCACCAGCTGCCTCCTTTGCCTCCCATTGCAGAGGGCAGGACAGTGCAGGAAGGGGGAAAAGAGACAAAAGATATCCAAACCATCTGAAATTAGAGGAAATAATAAATAGCTGTCTACTAGCCATAGGCAGTGTGTGATTTACTGAAATCACCATTTCTTGTTTTCCTGAAAAAACTCAGAGCCCAATGAATGTGAAATATCAGTAAAATAAAAGCTTCTAGGAGCTTGAAAGAGTCACAATAGAAACCCTTGACAGGAGCATGGAAGGCATAATAGGGTCAAAGGCAGAATGAGTAATACCAAAAATGTATTTTATTTGCAGCAGTTTGTATTTTCAGATCTCATTTCTCCTCTTGGAGTGTTTCGGTTGAGAGGGGCTCTGCACAAGCCGTGCAGCAAGGGTGGGAGCACCTGCCTGCACAGGAGGGCCTACACCATTGCAGCAGACATCCAGAGGGAAAACAGATTTCCCTGCTCCCAGTCCGATTGTCCTACAGTCTGTGGCATTAACAGCATAAACAAATGTCTACAATAGCCCTCGCCCTTCTGCTCTGAAAGAAATAAGAAAAGACCTTTCTGAAGCTTCTAGGGAGAGAGACAAGGACGGCAGAGCAGCTTCCCTCTCGCTCCTCTGACTGATGTCACCATTCCTGTGGCCAAAACATGTTTGTTGCTAAGCAACTATGTATATATTACACTCTTCTGCTTCCATTTGGGATTTAACATATGCATTTTCACTTTCATCTCTGATGCATACTTACATTTGTTTGCAGTGGGTGCCAGAGTGAATGGAAGCTGTCCAGTATGGGATATGCATAAGAACTGAAAGGCACACACAGTGATTTACCAATGTGCATCATTGTTTCACAGCATAGTTCAATGGGAAACCCACTGAGTGCCATTCACCAGCAGTTGGGACAATTTTTTCATTCAGGATTGATGCTGGTTGCTGTATAGCAGCTATTGGTTCAAGAAGTGCAGCAGTTCTCAGATGTCATGAGGAAACAGTGTGGGGATAGTCTGACTGTTAATTATTGGAGATGGATGCTTTCTACAATGATAAAAGAGGTCCATTCTTTCACCTGAAATTTTCTGGTTTATGCATAAATCCACTTATTTCTACACCTCTCCCAGTTACTTAACAGGCAATTTTAAAAAAAAAATCACCTTTTTCTTTTGAATTGCATGCAGATGACCCAAATCAGTAGCACCCAACACTCGCATTTTTCTATTAATCAAATCTAAAAGAAATTAAAATAGGGTAAAGAGAAAAAGAAGACAGGATGTGAGAATTCATTTATATTACAAACATTCTGTAACAGAAGAAAAAAATCAATTTTTGAAAACCACATCTATTACTCCATAATGAAATTGTAAGAGAATGCTATTAGTCATGTCTGTACATTTATCCACATTGTGATTTCAATAATTAAATTAGAAGATATAACATGGAGTTTGCTAGACAAAAATCCATGCTATAACAAAAAGGGTTTGGTATTGTCTCTATTAATAAGCGTTAAAGAACAAAACACTGGAGGAATTCTTGCAGACTAGATCATTTGGGTTTTGTTATGCTTTTCAGTTTAGCTTAATTTCCCACTGGAAGTTTCTCTTTAAGTATAGTCTTAGGATTATCATCACATAAGAAAAAAAATACTAAACTCAATTTGCTACTGATTTTTTCTTACTTTCTCCTCCCTGGAAGCCAGGAGAGGAGAGGGAGCACAGAAAGAATTTGAGGCAACCTTTACACTAGCCACAACCTCTTCTCTGAGGGAAAACTGAAGGTGTTTTTCTTTCCCCTGAAGCTCATGAAAAATGAACTTATAAAAAGGAATATTATATGAAAGCAACTTGCTTTCCTGCTCCTATGCATTGATTCAGGGCCATGGCAGTTGGAAGAAAAAACTTTGCTCTGGGTGTGCACCAGCACAATGGGTTAGGGGATGGCAGCTCTCTCCCATGACCTGCTCTTCCACAGAAGAGGGGCAATAACTCAGTGTTATTACATCCACTGGCCCTTTGTGCTCTGTGAATTTTCTGCATCCCAGGTCTGTGCAGAGCCTTCAGCTGGAGCACCAATGGCAAACCTGTGCCATGGAAGAGTGCCTGTTACACTGCTGGGTTGGACAAAACAGGCTGCACTGCAAGCAAGGATCAGACTCGGCAGTTAAAAAACAAATTATTTTTTAATAAAAGAGACAATTTAAAAACAACCAACTGTGTTATACCTTTAAACTGTCTCAAGTTCAGAATCAGCTGCTGTTTGAAAGTTGCCTTCATGCAGGACAGTCTGCATTTAGCACTTCCCCACTGGCCTCGGGGCCACACAGCAGCTCTGCAGGTGACAGAACTGGTGTCACACACAGATCACCCTAAGCTGATGCTTGCTAAGTTAAACTGCTCTTGAGAGGCACAGAAATGTCCCTGCTTACCCTGACACTGCACACATACACTCTCCAAAATCTGAGATTCACATCACAGCTGAAGGACTTGGCAGCAACTTCCACATTTAACTTTTGCTCTCTGGACATTTTGCTATTCTTTAGAAAAGAAATGCTTTCCTAATTTGCATTCCTGGTGCATTTGAGTCTTCCCAATATTAAAACAGAGTGTAGCTTATAGGGTGGTTTATAGTACTATGTACATCTATATTTCTGCCACAGTATCCAAGAGGATGACCAAGAATCCTTTTATAGTCTTAAATTTACTTTAAAATTTAAGAAACAAGAACTAGCTTTAGTCCGTGTTCTTTCTAGCCAACTGAGAAGCATCCTAGCAATTTAACTTAGTATCCACGGTGACATGACCAGGTCAAAGGAGCAGCATCTTTGGGCACAGCTGAAGTTGGGGTTATTCCAGATGCACATCCAAAAGCATCCTCCATGCATAATGAACACACCCCTCTCTTCTCCAAATTAGCACATAACCTACCAATAAAATAACAGCAATATTTTGAGCACCAGTAAAAGTATTATTTCTTCCATTTCAAAAGTCATCCTGAAATGTTCAGCTGCAGAGGTGATTTTTCATTTTTTCCCCCAGAGTCTACATTTGGGGAATATTATGAAAAGCTGAAGCTAACACAGATGCACACATTCCAGGGATTCATGTGAAGTCCTGCCACTGCAAGTCCAACTGAGGCGATGAACCTTTGTGGACCTTCCAGGAAGCTTGTGAATTTTGTTGCCAAGTTCAAACAGCTCTAAAATACATAAGGAAATGAGATCCCATGGTATTTATACAAATTCCCATGTTAGACATAAACGGCTACCTTTGTCTACTGTTCAACAAAAAAACAAACTTGCATGAATCTTTCCCAAATGTAGAAGCTGTTATACCATTATAGTGCTAAATCTGGCAAAAAGTACATGAAGTATGTGTGCAGAGACTGCTCTGGAGGTTTTGGAAGAGTAAAGGTGGTGCTGTGATACTGCATTTTAAAATGCATTTTATCTGCTGTTCCCTTCCTTTTAATGTATAGTTATATATTATTTATACATATTTATCTAAGAGACAATCCCACAAAATCAATAATCACATAGCACTCTAATACTTGTAACTCAGCAGAGACACAGAATATAATGCTTTTTTTTTTTGCTTCTTGCATTTAACTTTTTTTTTAATATCTAACAATTCATCCTGTCTTTAGGAAAATACTCATGAAGCAAAACTGGCAATGGAAAAATAATTATTTGAAAAACATTATATGAGGTGAGTTGTTGCTTCCCTACTGGATGCCACTTTAAATTGAGCTAATTTGTTTTACCAGTAGCTTAAGAAAACCCCAGCACAGCAGCATGACAATTATATCCAGGTGCAAGGACTTAATTCAACAAATTCTAGGTGGATCCTTCCAGTCAGCTCAGTGGGCCCCATCCTCAGCTGTGGCTAAGAACAGATGCCCTTGCAAAAAAAAAAAAAAAAAAAAAAAAAAAAAAAAAAAAAAAAAAAAAAAAAAAAAAAAAAAAAAAAAAAAAAAAAAAAAAACCCTCTGTAATCACATACCATTGAATCTTTGAACAGTGAAACTGAAATGTGTCCAAAAAAAAAAAATACAAATTATATTTCTATGTCCAGAGTATCAATTGAAACATGATTGAGAAACAAGGGCATCTTAAAACATAAATCTGAGAAAAGAGATGCTTTTTGCACTATTGTTATATTACAAATGTAAAAACAATAGCTCATCTACAAAGTATAAGATTGTGGTTCACCAGTTATTTAGGATTTAGAAGAGACACCTGAAAAATCAAAATCGAATCTAGCATTACTGATTTGAGGAAAACTTTAACAAAACAATCAAACTGCAGGGCTTGCTGTTTTAATTTAAATTGTATTATGTCTTGACATAATCAAAGTTAAAACATCTTCAAAGGCAAGAATTCAGGGAAGAATTCCACATAAACAAGCCCTGCATAGGTATAGATCATAACACAAATTGCAGGGGGTCTTGATTCTTTAGGAGCCAATAACTGCACAAATATAATAATTTTCAAGCTTCATTTTTGACAACCTACAGTAACACAGTAATGGTCTGTTCCTGGCTCAGGCAAAACATAGATTGAATTCAAACAGAAAGATACTTTTATAACACTTTGTTTACATATCATTTATTGCAATGCGTTAAGACCAGGAAACAATTTACATCTAAACCCACAGTGTCACATGCTTATTTAATTGCTGAAATACTCCCAGATGTGTACACATTTTACTGATTTGTGCACAATATACAGTTACAGTCAATTATTGTATTAGCAGGAACAACAACTAAAGTTCATAAATGCATTTGTGTCAAAAACACTGTATATGTGTATGCATGCCTAAATGGATAAAGATGGTATTTTGTGGGAACTTAGCCTTATTTTGTTACCATTTTTTATTCTCATCATTATTCATGTATTCAAATTTTTGAATAATACTGCAAAAAATATTTTCTCACCTACAGTTCTTACACTTAGTTTACAAAATACATCCCAAGAATTCTGCATTTTGTGTTTTTAAGAATTTCAACTTTAACTAACACTAATTAGAGGTATACCAGATGACTCTGATTAAACTAGTGGGTAGTGCTTATTCAGATTTAATGTGAGCAATCTGGACATTTTGAAAAACAGCCAAGCTGGGCTCAAATAAAAACCTGCCAAAAACCCAGACTCTGAATTCAGTCAGGCATGTAAGACTGGTTCCCATGAACATTAAAAATAAAATTAAAATCAGTTGGAAGTCTCGGTTTCCTTCAAACAAGAGAACAACCTCCCATACCCTCAAGAAATATTTCTGCCCAGTACATGCTGCCCTTTCAAAGCCACCTCTCAGCACCCTGAACAAACCAGGGAAGAAGCAGAGAGAGGTTATGGTTTTGTGGAGTGTATCAGCTCTGCCATGGCTGGATGCTGCTTTCTAGGTGAGGGTGGAGGCAGATAGGAAGAGGGCAGCTGCCAGTTGAAACACATTTTCCAAGACTGTCATCCAGAAATCGAGAGAGATGCTTTTCACTAGCTTTTAATTTAAAACACACTGTACAGAGACATATCTTATTCATCTGAACCTTTGAACATCTGATGTAAGGTGAGATTTAGGAATCAAACGTGGAAGGGCTGAGTTTTCGGCTGGTGTAAGATGACATAACCACTTCAGATAATGGACTTGTGGCTGCTCATACGCACATTTGGATTTTATAGTCCTCCTCTCCAATACTGTTCACTTGCAGTGCATGTTTTCTATTTATGCTGGCATTAACTTAGAAAGAAAAAACAGAATCTAACCCACTGTGAGATAATGTATCTTAACTAGTGCTCAAATGCATTGAGCTAAATCCACTGATTTGGATAAATTTAAGAATATAAGGGTCTTGGGTCAAAATTCAGTGGGTATTCATCTCTTCCTTCACAAAAACCTCCAAAATTCATGGTTTCAAAGATGACAGCACTGAAGATTTAAGAAAAGGAGCACTTATACATTGCCTATTGCTGTATGGTGCAAAGTACAGAACTCCTCCAGGTGAGCTTATTTTCTAAAGCTGTATTTCTTTAACCCAAGATGCCTAGAGACAGGTAAGGATACTACAGATGTTAATCCAAACCACTCTGGGCATATTAAAATTTGCTAAAGTGAAAATGTGCTTTGCAAGGTCAAAGGGTCAAATATTTAAGATGTTTAAGATGTCTATTTCCTACTGGTGAACAACCAAATTATTGGATTTCAACAAGGCTTCTAAACTACACTATTTGAGAAAGAA